CAACAACAACAACAACAACAACAACAACAACAACAACAACAACAACACCAGCAGCAGCAGCAGCAGCAGCAGCAGCAGCAGCAGCAAGAGCAAGAGCAAGAGCAAGAGCAAGAGCAAGAGCAACAACAACAACAACAAGCAAGCAAACAACAAGCAAACAACAAACAACCAACCAACCAACCAACCAACCAACAAACAAACAAACGACAACATCATCACAGTGTCTTGCATCCGGCCGTCGTTGCTTACCGTGTTTCTTTTTGCAGAGGACTGCCGCAAGTCTTGGATGGTCTGTCAGAAGTCACCAAGAAGCGACAGGTGCTTCGGACACCAAACGCTCCCCCATGCGGCGACGGTACGGACTTCAACATGCAAGTCGGTGGTGCCAAAAACCGAGATTTGCAAGTCTGTGGTGGCTTGTATATCCAGAAAATCACATTGGATTGTTTTGAAAAGTGTTGAAAACATGTTGGAGGTTTGCCAAGACGGTTCATTCATCAACACAGAGGGCACGGTATAACTGAGACGCACCTTGAACTTGCTCACATGTTCTGTATTCTTATCGATTTTGCACACATGTTATGTTGCACCAAATTTTGCTATTTAGTTAATATATGAAGTCCTTAACATCTTAACCGCCTGTGAGGTTTAGCTAAGACTGGTGACGTACAAATACTTAGAACACATTTTGTTTTCAATGTTGCTAACCCCCACACCTAGAGCATCAGGTAAAGCTCCACACTTTAGAACAGCAAAGTTCACCACGCTTAGAACAGTTTGGTGGATGCTCTTCAGATTATTTTCTTCGCTTTTCGTAGCATGTCATGATACTATTGAATATTCTACGCAGGTTCCTTGCTTGCCGCATTTCCGCAACTAGAAGTGCAAAGGCGCACAGACACTGCCATTCAATGGGCTCCAAAGTGGGAAAAACGCACAACATGCTGACTAAAACAACAGAACCTGCTAAAGAACACAAACCCAAAGATGTTCTAAGTATGGGGTTTTCATTTTAATGTATTGTTCTCTTTGTGGGGTTGTTGCGGGGTCAACTTGACATGTTCTGTTCGCGCACAAAAAGGCATGATGTTAAAAGTGTTCGTCTTCAGAGCAAACAAACGAACAACAAGGGACCCCGGTCTCTACGTATTTGTCGGTCACTATAGTTCAATAAGTTTGGGGACCCCGGCAGAGCCACAAAAAGACATGTAGGACCTGCAACAGGCTTTGTGGGACTAAGATAAGTCATGTAAGTGGTTAGGCAATGGCATGTTCATAGCTAGACAATCCTGTGACAAAGCTCCAGTCACCTCTATATCTCTCATCCCCATGGTTTGAGAAATGAGTGGATAAGCAACAAATCTTTCTAGCTACTCTGTCAAAATCGTTTCCTGACCACACAAAAAACCTATGCTATAACAGCATTGTTTGGCATTTCATGGCCACAGTATCCTTTGAGTGTGTTTGGTTTGGTGGGTTGTCACCAGATTCATCCAGATTCCACAGATCTTTGGCGTTAAAGCCCGTAACGCTGTATAGAGCTGCTGATGTGCCTTTCAAGTTGTTTTGTTTCTCTCATTGACTTCAACACTTGGTAGATGTTTCCTGTAATTACTTATAGTGCTATTTGGTATGTTAGTCCGGGAAAGAAGTATTAGTCCAATCGAACATCCTAATATGCTGTACTTCCCCCGGCCACATCCGCGGTCTGACATCAGAGGGTGGTTGTGAGATCCGCCCAGCGCCTGCCCAGCGCTGTTCCAGGTCTTGCCGGAACTGCTGAACGCCCAACGCTTTCCGGGACAGGAGGCAGGGTCTTTTTGTTCCATCATATTGACCAGAGACACCTTTACAAAGAAGGCGTCCCACCTGAGGATGGTTTTTCATCAATCCATCACGCTTTGTTGCTAAATCGGTCACTCATGTCACCCCTGTGGACAGAAGAATTGTAATTCAGGGATCATGTTGTTGCGTGCGGGTTGGCCTGCGAAACAACCACATAGACGGCCATGTCAGCACTGGTTGGTAGTGAACTACCACTCGCCGTCGGGCAACGGTTTGCAGATGCCATACAGCCCTTGGTCACATCGTTTAATGACTTCTGCTAGCATATGCTAGCAATATCAGTGCATTCAAGAACATCAGGCCAACCAACTGCTTTTCAGGGAGTATTGTTGGCCTTGTTTGCTTCAAAACTGCCTCACCGTGTTGTCGCTTGAGCCGCTCAAGGCGGCGCATTTGTTGCCATCCATCTTGAAGATTGGTGTCACTCTGAAAGAAGATGAGCGCCTCGGAGATGCCAGAATCCATGTCATCACCGCGGATGTGTTTCAGCAGGGCTTTCATCAGGTCTTCTTTGTGCATGCATCGCGAAGCAGTGTCGAAGATGTTTGTGATGATGGGAGGAGTTTGTAGGAGATGATTGAACAACAACTTAGATATAATGAGATGTCATTTGCTTGGTGGCCTGAGTATTCCATACACGTTCGGAACTTCCGATTCCGTTCCCTTCCGCGGACCGCCGGAGGTTTCGAGAAAAGGTGGCGCCCTTGGTGGTGCTCCCGGCTTCGTTTAATGAATAGATCTCCAAGGAGATCGTCCATGAGGATCATGAAGGGCTACGATGTTTTTCCATATTGTTTTCCATCCCTTTTTGAGTGTCTCGTAGTTTTGTGCACGGCCTCCTGTGCCGTGTTTTGAGTGTTTGGATGTTCAGTCCCAGCGAGTCTGAGTGTCTAGGATTCGTAGCATTAAGCAGTGCTGCTTTTGCAGTTTCGACAGCTGTTCGGCGCCAGAAGGGGAAGAAGGGACCCAGGAAGGTTTGGGGATCTTAGATTTAAGTTTGTTTGAGTAGTTTGAGTATAGTTAATTTTCCTTAGGAAAGCAACTAGCAAACATTTAAACTTACATTTTGCTGGATAAAGAAGTGACATATCTTGAAGATCATTGGAGAAAGGTAAGATAGCCATGTTTGGTTTCCTATTCCGGGCGGCCAATCTCGGGGCCCTTCAGGGTGTTCCGTTTTGAGACATCAAGATCCTACCCGCAGTTCCATGGTTTCGGGCAAGGATAGGGCCATGGAGGATAGGACCGTGTGGTGCCCCCTGTCACATCCACTCACTTGATGGGTCGAAAAAAATCTTTTTTATGTACAGTAATTAACTTCTGTGAGTCCACTGATGGAGGATAGGGCCATGGCCCTATCCATTTGATGGCCCTCTAGTTGGCGTCCACTGCACAGAGAGACGCCGTCGGCGTGAAACACGGAGAGACGGTACCATCCTCCGCCAGGTGAAGCTCTTCGCCTCGCCGGATCGCGCGGTGCGCTTCCGATTGCGCCCTGGCATTGGTTGAGGGCTGGCTAAGTCATAGCAGCAAAACTAAGAGGTTGAGCTGAAAAGAACTATAGGTTTTGCAATGATCCACTGGTGTGCGGCAATGTTCCAAGTTTCTATTTCATATCATGTACATCAGCGTCCCAACCATTACATACCAGTATATACATGTCAACACCCTTTCACCCAATTTGCCTCTTCAACAGCTGGTCGCGTCTGCACCACTGCTTCATGCCTTGACATGGATTTAACAGTGGTCCGCCTGGTCCGCATGGGCGGGGTGCAACCCCCCAGTCCTTGGTGCAGGCACCTTTGATCCTTGTTGTGCAGGCACCGCGCGCAAGCAGCGAGCTCCAAGGTTGACCTCTTTGGGCGAGATGATCGAGTTCTTGGCCACTCGGGTCCTGGGAGGTTGGGGGAAAAGTCTTCAGTCTTCGACCATCAGAGGTGGAATTCGGGATGACAGGGGTTAGGTTAGATGACATGATGATCAGAGTGCGTCACAATTTGCTCAAAAGATCTCAAAAGGTCGTTGATGCTGGCATCCTGCATGCAAATAGACTATAATAGATTCCTAAAATTGGGGTCTTTCTTGCGGGAGGGTTTTCTTGAACAGTAACAGTGGAAGATGGCCAGAGCGAGGCAAGAGGAGCGGTCCGAGTTCCGCCTCGCCTCAACAAGCAATCGGTGTGAGACGTTTAGATCCGGAGAGACGGCAGTAGAGATGTGGTGTAGAGATGGTCGAAGATGTTTTCATACATGAGTCAGAAGAAAGTAACTTCATCGAATCATGTCCAACCCGCCTTATAATCAAAGTCATTCCACCCGCGAAGGAAACACCCCAAAAATCCATTCAGGCACGGAAATGAACTGTTTCATGATCCGCGCCGTGGGACTGACATCGGCAGTTGGCAGATGTCGCCTGTCTTGGCCCCCACTGAGGATGATAGCATGATCAATGACAAGATCTTCCCAGAGTGTGTCCAGCTGTCCAGCATTGGTTGAGATTTGTATTGGGTCAACAGGATTCAGAGAGAGAGAGAGAGAGAGATAGTCAACAGCAGTTGAGGGGTAGTTGCTTGGCCCACGCAAATTGTCTAGCTCTTGAAACGGATGTAGAGCTGGGAGGAGTTTCGGGCGCTCTTTCCGATGAGGGAAGTTTGGATAATTCTATAAGTGAGCGGCCCAAGTGATGCTCCTAAGTGTGCTCACTGTTGAAGGCAAGCTGTGACTGTTTTGTCCAGCTTGGACTGGTATTTTTCTTGGGCTTCGATGGCCAGGAATGGTCCATCTGCACACCTCGAATGAGTTGGGTCTTTCAAAACGCTGCTATAGATGTGAAGACCAATCCTTTTGGCTCGGCCAAATCCATGTCTTGAGGCTTCATCTCAGATCCAGCAAATCACCATACACCATATATGCAGAATCCCAATTTCTCACCTCCCGTCGTCTGGTCAATAGACCTTCCCACTCCAAGACAGACCCCTCCGCCATAATGTAGTCCCTTGATTAATAAACCCCCCCCCCCCCCTCAACAGCCAAGGCCTCCAAAATAATGTATA